TGACATGGATTTGCTAATGCTGTGTACCATAAACATGCAAGTTAATAGGTGACCGAAAGGCTATAAATCGACCAATAATATGTCACCTGGCTAGTGAAACCTGACCAATCATTTTTCCGGTTCTTCCTAACAAAAGAATATCATGCCCATTTGGACAATGCCTCAGAGGTGTCAATGTATGTTCCTATTAGTTCAATGTCCACCGCATAAATATTTCATCAATTTGGGCCGTAAATAGTGAAAAGCTCACTAGATCAAAGAAATGTTTGTATGCTGAGGATGCCCACTACATGTCCAGTTGTGAGGAAAGCAGGGTCATTTGGACGTTTGTGTTTTATGTGTTAGCCAAACAAAACATCAAAGAGAATAGAGACAAACATGGATTTCAGCTGGTATCGTTTAGGTAGGTTTCTTGTAATTGTTTTCTCTGTCACATTGGTTTTGTCAAAAGGAATTTTCCCTTTTAGTAGGTTGCATATTATCAAAATTCTTTTCTTCAAAAAAAAGTATTTTTTATAATCAAGGAAGCAAAATAACTTGATTGAGATCAATTGTTATATGGTGGTGTTTTTTTTTTATCAATTTCAAATGTATTAAAAGAAATTTATGATGAGGTTGCATTTAGAGATAATTTACAAGAGGAAATGATTTGCACTTTTTGACACTTTGGCCCAGAATATTTCATTGATCCCTGTTAAGATCAAACCATTTAATTAAGAGTAAGTTATATATTGCAAGACAAATGTTTCCCAGTTTAAACACAGACATAAAAGGGCAGTGATAAATCACAGTGTAGAGATAATGGGGGATTTTTGTATGTACTTCAAAATTAAAGGCTGACACTCTTCATGTTTCATTAGCGAAATATGATGAATTACACACTAAAATATCATTACAATTTGGTTCTTTATTCTTTTAATATATATTAAATTTATTATTTAAATATGAAGCTTTTAGAGAGGAGCCAGTTTCTGTGGACCAAGTTCCCACATAAATGTTAGGTGATCACTGATTACTGCAATGAAGCACGTAGGCAGGCCGGGATATCAGCTTGCTGAGGACTTGAAATGGTTGCACAGATTTTATAATTCATTGATTAGCATGTGTTATAGAAATGTAGTAATATTATACAACTTCAGATTTACGTAATCGGTGAGTTGGAGAGCTGATAACACTGCTCGGTCGGACAGATTGATTCAACGATCTGTTGACATGTCAGGATAAAAATAGGAATCGGGCAAATAACATTGATATTATTTTATGAGATTTCAGTTGGAGTTTGCAGATGTTATAAAGTTAAGACAAGAGTATAGTCAATACTGCAAGTGTAATGCTAGAAAATTATAAATTGTTAAAAAAGAATGTTTTCTTCTGCTCCTGAAATAAGCATAGTGGAGAGGACGTACATTACAAGTTCTTTTCCATCCTGTGTCTTTGAATCCCTACAAGGTACTGACCTTCATCTACAAAATATATTTTTGTTAGACTTTGGGTTTATCTCCATCACTCTAAAGTCTAGAATAGCATTAACCATCAAACCTCATATGTGGGTATATTTTGAGGAGTACTTCACTGATATATCACTATAACTTTGGTTAGACTTTGCGTTTAGCTCCATTTCTTTGGTAAAAAAAATCCTTTTCGTTCCAACTCGATCTTGAAAATAAATTAACGCAAAATACCTCAGCCAAAGTTCTTTCTAGAAAAGCCTATGTAATTTGGGGAAATACAGTTTAAGTTCTGCTACCATTTAAGATAACTCCGAAACTCCATATAAAAGAATGGATGCCAGGAGATTGTAGCATTAAGCTTTCCCTTTTGATCGATTCAACATGTGCCACTGTTGTCTTGGGAGATCTAGAGGGGGGTTTAGAATGGAAAAATAGACAAAATACAATTACATCAAATGTTTATTCATGTAAAATTGACTGCAGACCTGCTGTTTTCTGATGCTTGCCGACTTAACGGGCTGGGGTCTGTTCATTCCCTTTTATTGATTGTCAAGATAAAGAACTTGACTGTGGAGAGTTGAGGACATTGACAAGTATTGGACTTTAGAAGGCACACTGACAGAGAAGATGTGTCGTTTTAGATTTAACAAGTTTATTCACACTCACACTTATTGACAAGTAAAGTGTGCTGTCTAGTTTCAGTAATACAAATTTATTCACACTTTTATTTGATAATAAATGAAGCTAAAGGATATATCTTACAACGTGTTTGGTACACGGAGGTCGATGTAATCCCAATGACAATACACTTATTTAATCTCCTGCAGGCTGCACATGTAGGAGGATCCTGGGGCTTCAATAATGATTTCTTTACGGGTTTATAATAAGTTGTGTGTGTGCATAGAATATCAAAACTACATGGGTCTGAATATACTATTGAAGTGCTTGTGGAAAAGCTTTTCATTGTTTTTGTGGTAGCTAGATATTTCATGATATATTTGACATTTTTTTCGTCTCCTTCATGTATAATCTATCATAAAAAAATTAGTTTCTGATATTTCAGGTTTTTTTCACATTGAATAGCCATAGAATAGATTTTATTTGCAATTGCCTTATAAACTGAAATTTACCAGTGATATTCACCTGTATAATGCTGATAGCATTGCAACATTTTACCTACTTCATTCGTTAGAAATGAATGGTGTCATTATGGAGAGATGACCTTTACCTGTATATGAAGGTCAGCCTCTTAAGATGACCCTTACAGGGAGCTGCCTGTATATGCAGTCATTGGATAGTGATGTCTGGATCCTCTGTTTCTGTACTGTATATACATTATTTAGACCCTTTCTGATCAATAATACATAGCAGCGAACATACACTTTGTGCTTAGGATCAGTGAGATAACACCAACCTATATATAGTAACACAGGGATTATCACAACTCCCAGTGGGATTATGTATGATCAGATGATTAGTGAGACGATGGGAATGATTTCGTGACAATTTGGTTGCCATTTTCTATCCGTTTCTATGGCAATCTCTCGGCTCCCTTCGCACGTTTTGGTTGGAGTCTTAACGCCCTTTAATTAGAGCCACTGTATCTATGTCATGTCGTAACAACATCATGCAACAACGTTCTCGCTGATAATTAGTTGTGGAAATGAAAATGCATGCAAGAGCTATCACAGAGACAATGGGATTGAGCGACTATTAGTGGCAGTCTTTTGTAACGGAGTGTTACAGAGTGTTATGTAGACTAAATTTCCCTCAGTTGTGAGGATTTCGTCTCAAATCTATTGTCATTAGGGTCACCAATTCCCCGCGTGATGGTATTGATCTGCCAGACCTCTGTGATGAAGGCAGAGAAATCTTTGTGATGTAATGGTCAGTGTGATTTCCGGCCGTTTCCTGACCAACCCAGACTTCATAATTAGGACAAACTCATCATGAGTTTCTCTGGTGTTGTCATATTGTCAATATGTAGCAACATGTTCTATGGCTATTCCAATATACCCTTTCTGAAAACTCCACACATGGTTACATTCGTAGCTGCTAGTTTTGAGGGGCGTCGGGACTCCACCAAACTGTTATGTTTCCTATTCATTTAGTTATACATGTACAGCTAGAACAATCAAATCCAACAGCGGTGTAAAATGTTCCCCCCATAAGTGAAAAAATAGCTGTATGAAATCAAACCTGTTAAGAGTACAAGCCACTAAATGACATGCTCAGTTTCGTCAAATTGTCTTTTTCTACCTCATCTCCAGATGGAACATCCTGATACATACCAATTCTCCATATCTATAATGAAAAAATTAACAGATGTTTCATCTAGCTTTTTTTGCTTAGACTCATAGAACAAATCAGCTTACCGGTAATCCATGACATTTTATGTTTACATTTTGTGGAATACATATTATTGTAAGTAAATTTTGCCACATGAGTTCTCTCCCATGAGAAATTTGAAAGGTTGGCATTCATGAATGAGACCATTACATGGTTTTAGTCTCATGGAACCTGAAGTGTGTATGAGGAAACACTAATTTCTGGTATTGAATTCTTTTACCTAAAAGGTTACATCACTAGCAATAGAAATATTTCAAAAAGTTATTTGATTCTGTGATACTAACTACTCCATAAATCAGATGACATAATGAAATGCAATTGATATAAAAATATCACAGTAAATGACTATTGGATCAATTATGTCATTCAATCAAATGGAACAATATCAGTTGTAATAGTCACACAGCTGACTGAGTATTTGCCAATTGTGTGGCAGTTTTAGATAATGTAATCTGTGTTATTACCATCTGTTATCACTAACCATACTCTTGTTTTCATCTACTGTCAGACAAGGAACATGGTCCAAAGTTATTAAGTTATACATTTGTTCTCTATGAGTCAAAAATCTCTACCATTTTGGAAGAGAACTGCTTGGAAAGAGTTAGAAAGGATGTTAGGTTCGTAAATAAACATGAAAGTGTCGGTGGGACAAAAAAGAATATTCTGCAGGGATGTGATTCTTCCTCTTTTCAGAGTTTCCTCGTTTTTCTTTTCATGAAAAAATTACCATGAGCATAAAAGTTCTTGATTTGTTCCGAAACTAAAAAAAGGAAAAAAAGGTGAAGTTTCTAAATGGGTGAGGTGTGTTCCTCCCTTTCTCTTTGATTTCTTTTTTCTTTTCTGGTAACATCCCTGTTTCTTCCTGATCTGTATTCCAGACTTTTTTGTTTTAATTTTATTTAAAGGGATTTACTTCATGTTGTGGTCGTTCATATTGCTCTCAATCAAAGACTAACACATTGTGCTATATCTATGAACGTATCATATACCAGATAAAATCAAAATTAACCATAATAATGAGTATATTTTGGAAAGGTACATTGTAAGACTATAGGTGTTGTAGGATAATGATATAATTGTATATGATGGTAAAACAGTTACGGGAGAACCCTGATACACTGTTACCTGTAGACTGAAATAATATATTTCCCCCTTTTATTATCATATTTGGTATAACCTATGTCTTTGTTTGTTCTCCAGTTTACATTTCCGTCCCCAATTCTCGGCAGTAAATGGATCCCAGATCTGCTCAAATTTGACAGTGACTTCCTGGGGGGTAATGTGAGTGGGTCCGGCTTTGACGACAGCTTTGGCCTCCCATTACGCCAGGCAGACGTAGCTGACTCGCCACTTTTAGACGATAGCAGTTTTGGCCTTGACCGTAGCAGCTTCGGCCTTGACCACAGTTCAGAGAACCAGAGTGGAAAGGACAGTGCGGTGGTGAGCGAGGTGGAGGGTAAAATGTCCTCAGAGTACAGCGACTCTGACCTGGACATGTTAAAACACCACCGCCTTAAGTCCGACTCCCGGGACATCGGCTACAGCAGTGGAACCACAGAGTCACTCGGCCACATCAGCACAGAAAGTGACTGTGAGGACATCAAGAAACTTATTGCTGGAGCAGAGCGTCTAGTTACACCTGAAAGATCAAGTGTCGGAAACAAGCAGCACAAAGAGGACAATTCATGTGATGCGAGTAGTGAGGAAAGTGATGGCGGATCGGATGTGTATTCCACCGCCAGTGATGATGGCAGTAAACATGAAGCCATGTTTGACAGTGTCCTTGGACTGGATTACAATTCTGATGCGTCACTACCTCAGAATCTTCCAGCATTCCACAACACTGTGAAACTTCGGCAGCGGAAATGCAGAAAGGACCGACCTTGGAGCGCCATACAGCTTACAGACATAGGAGATGACTTTGACATATCGTCACTGTCTCGGTCAGAGACAGCCATTGATCGCCTTAGTTATGGAAGTGAGCACCTGTCGGCCAATAACAAGCTGGGTGGCTCCGCTGCTACCTTCCCTCGTGCTGGAGCAAAGCGCAAGCTGTACGAGTCCAGTCAGACAAGTCCTCCTGAGGGAAGTGTGTTTGACTCTAGTGAGTCTGAGACAGAGAGCTCAGGTGAGTCAATAAATATTCAATAGAAAAACATTATTCCTGTAGTAGATGCTAGTTTTTACTGAAAATGTATTTTAATAAAGCGATCAAAGTATTCTGATGAAGTATAAGCTTGGGACAATAGTTTGATTAAATACAGAATATGGTAATATGGTTATTCAAAAGTAGTCCTTATTCCATATCTTTGTGTATTACAGCCTGCTCTGATGATTATGAGACGGCACAAACTGACATCCTGGTGTCCGATGAGGAAGATGGTCTCAACAGTACAGCTTCTGTCTCAGAACCAGCGTGGGATAACTACCACCAGGTAAAACTGGTCTCACCTTAGGGCCTGGCTTTATCTTACCGTACAGGATCAGACCTTGTCACCTCTCACCACACATGGTCTCCCCTTATGGCACCTCGTTACACATAGGATACCACCTGGTCATATCTTACCACACAAGGGGGCCTACCTGGTCATGTCTTACCACACAGGGGCCTACCTGGTCATATCTTATCATACAGGGGCCTACCTGGTCATATCTTACCACACAGTGGCCTACCTGGTCATATCTCACCACACTGGGGCCTACCTGGTCATATCTCATCTCACCGGGGCCACCTGGTCATATCTTACCACACAGGGGCCTACCTGGTCATATCTTACCACACAGTGGCCTACCTGGTCATATCTCACCACACTGGGGCCTACCTGGTCATATCTCATCTCACCGGGGCCACCTGGTCATATCTTACCACACAGGGGCCTACCTGGTCATATCTTGCCACACAGGGGCCTACCTGGTCATATCTTCCCACACAGGGGCCTACCTGGTCATATCTTGCCACACAGGGGCCTACCTGGTCATATCTTATCATACAGGGGCCTACCTGGTCATTTCTTACCACACAGGGGCCTACATGGTCATATCTCACCACACAGGGGCCTACATGGTCATATCTCACCACACCGGGGCCTACCTGGGCATATCTCACCACACAGGGGCCTACCTGGTCTTATCTCACCACACAGGGGCCTACCTGGTCATATCTTACCTCACAGGGGCCTACCTGGTCATATCTTATCACACAGGGGCCTACATGGTCATATCTTACCACACAGGGGCCTACCTGGTCAAATCTTACCACACAGGGGCCTACCTGGTCAAATCTTACCACACAGGGGCCTACCTGGTCAAATCTTACCACACAGGGGCCTACCTGGTCATGTCTCACCACACCGGGGCCTACCTGGTCATATCTTACCACACTGGGGCCTACCTGGTCATATCGCATCTCACCGGGGCCACCTGGTCATATCTTACCACACAGGGACCTACCTGGTCATATCTCACCACACAGAGGCATACCTGGTCATATCTCACCACACCGGAGCCTACCTGGTCATATCTCACCACACAGGGGCATACCTGGTCATATCTCACCACACAGGGGCATACCTGGTCATATCTCACCACACAGAGGCCTACCTGGTCATATCTCACCACACAGAGGCATACCTGGTCATATCTCACCACACCGGAGCCTACCTGGTCATATCTCACCACACAGGGGCCTACCTGGTCATATGTCACCACACAGGGGCATACCTGGTCATATCTCACCACACAGGGGCATACCTGGTCATATCTCACCACAAAGGGGGCATCAGACAACAGCATCTGTAATTATACAATATCCTTTTTATTTAAAAGATGCAGCTGTTTCATACAGTCACTACTAATTTCTGTAAATGTCAATCTCTATGGTAACTACGAAACATATGATTGGTTATGCTTAAAGCCATGGATACAGGCAGATTTATATAATGTACAATGTCACAGCTGCTGTGTAAAAAAATTCCGCCAACATGTCTAATTTGATACCATTGCCTCACCTTTTCATTCAATAAACAATTCTAAATTATAAACAATATCCACCTTTTCACTAGACTAAATTTTGAGCAAGCTCTTTAGACTGACTATAGCAATATAAATCTTATAAGAAGAAAATGTCCTTCTGACATTGTTGAAAGGCAAAGTGCACCTTATGCTTTGTCTGATAAGTAGGACTGAAAACCAAGACCTTTAGGTGTGTTTAATCCTTCTCGCCAGGATACACATTTAGAAATATTGATCAGCTATTTTCTATTGACACACTTTGTATTGGATATCCGACATGCACAGCTGCACAATGTAAGCTGTTTGTCACTGCTTTCCCTTCATTTCAATGATCAATCACATGACACATTATTTTCTTAAAAAATGAAATAATTCAATAATTTGAAACTGTTTGATAGGATACACTTTATAAATTTCTGTGAGAAAATTGACTTACATAGTTAGGGTAGTGGTGACTTTTCCCCAGTCATGTCTGACGAGATTGTAGTGATGTTTGATAGTATGGATGATGCACTGGCAGGATTTACTGAAGAGTGGGAGAAAGATGTCCATTCACTGTTGTTTGAAGGGCAAACTATCTATTATAAAATTGCAAGTAATTTCTATTATAGATGTACATATGTTTACAATATAGTTATGCTCAAATGTTATTTTTTTTATTTCATGAGAATGAGGTATATATTATACAGATCATAGATATAGTGGTTGTGGTCTTTTCAAGGTAATATAGCACAATTTTACTTCCTTTGTAAGTAGTACTACTGCATCTGTATTCAAGAGATACGATGACAGATCATTGATAAAAGATATGCTTGTATCGAATAAATCTCTCATGAGCTTCTCATGTCAAAATAAAAATAGATGGTAGACATTTTTTTCCATAATTAAGTTATAATCTGACTCAGATATATTCAAAGTTGCATTTTATCCCCACCTCTGAGCTCACTGACCTTTGTATGACCTTGCCCTTCAGGTATATATGTCCATGGGGGAGGATCAGGAGGAGCAAACGTTGAGATGGAACCAGCTTGAGGAGGATCTTGAGTTTGACGAAATCTACCCCTCCCCTAAAAACGTATCCCTGGTCTCCGCCGAAATGGAACGAAGGAAAAAAGAAGGAAAGAGTAGACCTCGCCTGGTGACCCAGAGCAGTCGTCAGGGATACGACAGTGACTCGGATCTAGAGGATTTACACTACTTCCTGGACGACTCGGCCAGTCAACTGAAAATAACTGACCACTGCCTTAAGAAACGAAGAAAAGACCAGTTCAGGACAGGCATTGCTATGAACTCCCACAAATATGTAAGTCTGTAGGATAGTTTACTGGTCATGTGTTACGGGTAGACAGGTGATAGTCATGAATCGTCTGTGGGCATGCATTAAGTGTTTCTCATTATAAATACGACGTTCCACCATACAGTTACAGAACATAATATATATCTGATGAATAAGTACCTCCCTACTGGGTAAAAAAGTTACTGCAAAGTACTGTTTTGGTTTAAAAATTATGTGTAATATATATAGAGTTGTTTATGAACAGCAGTTTATAAAAGGTAAAAGCGACTCTTAGTTGTTTCCTTCAGCTAACAGGAAGCTATTATCAACATTTTTATTGAGGTTTGGATTTTATTGAACTATTTTTTTACCTTCTAGGCTGAAATCATTGCTACCTGTCAAACAAATATAAATTGTCTACAAAGTGTCTACAACCACCTGCCAGCCGAGGCCACAGAGTCACAACTAGAGAACTTAAAAGGTGAGTCACAACTAGAGAACTTAAAAGGTGAGTCACAATTAGAGAACTTAAAAGGTGAGCACCTGATAGCAAGTACTTGTTTGTAAACTTGACCCTTTCTTCCAACAATTGCCTGCTTCTTTTGTTTATAAAATAATCCTGTGTAAATGGTTACAATTAATCCCCTGATAATGATACATATGCAGATATAAGAATTTATATGGTCTCTTAAGAGAATCCAAAATTGCATATTTATTTCTCTGTTTCCAAATAATCAAGCATAATTCATAAAAAACACCCAAAAAACCTGAAAATTAGATGACCATTGGTGTTATTTAGTTTTAAATAAACTTTAAAGTTTATGAAGTATTCCGAATAAAACTTTACCTGATGCCTGACTGGTTTTCTGATTGGGTTTAAACCACTATGATGTTTCCCTGACTGATTAAGTACATGTATATGACGCTTTCCCTATTGACAGACATGCTGTACCAGTGGGAAAAGCTACATGCCTTCGCGTGTGAGCGTCAGCAACAGTCGCAGGCGTTGTCCAATATGTGTAAGAGTATGAGCAACGTGCGGACTGGTCTACAGAGCTGTGAGGTGGAGGGCACGCCCCAACGATTCTCCTCAGTCACTCAGGTGGAACAAAGTCTCAAGCTAGCAAAGGTACTGCAATAACATAATCATGTATATTGTTAAATGGCAAGTAGTGTGGTGTACCTGTGATTAATATTTTTGGTAAATTCTGTTAGAATGTGACTCAGCATTCAGACAAAGTGAAGGTATTCTTAAGAAAATGTCACAGATTGGCTATTAATTAATCCATAGTCAGTTTTTTATTTCAATATTTTTTATTTTTTATTTGATAAATAAATGCATCAATAATTAAAGTAGTGTAATTTGAGATAACTTTGAGATAACTTTAGTGAAAGACATTTGTGTTTTATCTTGGAAACATTGTTCTTTCTTATTTCAGAAAAATCATGTAGTGCTTCAAAGTGTACAACAAACCATCAGGGATTTGTACAAAACGGGTCAGGGTTTCCAGCAGGATCACCCATCCATCAATCTGGACGTGTTTGTAGAACAACTGAAGCAGGCTGACCTTGTGTCCAGTCTCAAGCTGGAAAGGTGTGTATCTAGTCTTAAACTGTGAATATGTCTAACTGGTAGGAGGTCTAGCCTTACATCGGAGAATAGAATAATGCTATCAGTATCTCACAGTACAAGTGACAAACGGGAGATGGCTGTGGTGTTGTAATAGAAGTGGAGACAACACTATAGTGCATACCCTACAAAACTTGTGACAGAGTTTTACTACTGATGTAAATCAAGAAATTGTAATGTGTAACCTGATCATGTAGTAACCAATAGCTTGTGTAAATAAAGATGTTTTCAAACATGAAGCCAAAACAAAATATGTATGATTCAGGTACCCTGACAGACCCTAGTTTTTACCTCAGACCTTCACAATTTTACCTCACTCAAAAATAAAATAAACTCTAAATAAATTCCTACCCACCCACCTTATTAAGAAAGTGGCAATATGAAACATCACTAATAGAGTTGATTATTTTATCATTTTCATTTAACCAGTTTTTGAAACTTTTCCATTTTAATCTGAAGATACACATTAGATTAATTACCCCATTTCCTTAATCCATGTATCATAACTAACTTACTATTCATAAGTTGTCTCCCTTTGTGATACTCTCCAGAGTGAACCAGGACCTGCCCGACATACAGCAAATTCACAACCTGTGGAGTGAGTATGTCTTGTTACGCGGCCAGCTCAATGGTTTACTGACAGACGGATTTACAGAGGAGAATTTGGACCTCCAGGTTTGTTAAATTTTATTGATAAATGTATCAGAAGTTTTGTATAGGGATTTTATGGTATAAAATTTACAAAAATGTTAAAAGTAATATAATTTTCAAGATAATGGTAGTATATGACAAAATGGATATTTTAAGTACATATTCAGGGAGGTATTTAACACTTCAGGATCTTCTAGAATTTCTTATTTTAATTTTTGTATGATTTTATGTGGAACCATACTTCCCTGAGAGTAAGAACATACTTGGAATAAAAGCTTACATGAGTTTTGCCATGAAATTTGTTAATGTTGACATCTTGTTTTCTAAATCTTTGATATAGAAAAAGTAGTTATATGAGTAATAATGTTTATTACAGGACCCAAATGGACCTCTATATAAGGTGGATCAGATGATATCCCGACTGCAGGCCCTCCGTGGCCAGTTATCTCCCTTTATTGATGAGGTGACCAAGGTGGAAATGACCATGTCAATGGCGGAAATCCATGAGCAACTGTGTAAGGCCCAGAAACACTGTCGACAGCTGGAACAGCTGGCAGTGTTTGGAAACTCACAGGAAACTATGGAGCAGTAAGTTATTACTTGTGAGAGCTGGCTAATGATGATGGACATTAAAACAAAAAAGGATCATGGTGTAATATTAGTTCTACAAGGGTACCTCTTTGTCATCAGAAGATATATTTGTAATAAACAATTTCCAAATTTATGAAGAAATATTACAAAAAAATCATATAAGCATGATTTGTGAAAACTGGAAGAAGGGATTTAGTGTTGGAATTAGCTGTGCCATAAATTTAATACTTGTTTCTTTGTTATTTACAGAACTGATATTAAAACAACTCTGGCAGCAAATCCAGCATGTATTCCTTCATCATCCACATCATTATCATCTTCTTCCTTATCTTCTTCCTCATCTTCATCTGCCTCCTGGCTGAAGTCAGGTTATGTGCGAGCAGCCGCTGTGTTCATGATGATGGGTGTGGCCTACATGGTCGACCCAGATCTCGTCAAACGTATTGGAGACTTTAGTGTCAATGTCACCCCAGAGCTACGATACGTCAATGGCCCACCTCCTGTGTAGTAAATGTTGTAATATAGTTCTTTGTGTTAAGATATAAAATACCACCATGACAGACATTTAAATTTCTTGCAAAAAAGTTTCATTTATTGAATTAGAATACATCTTTTATGGACAAAAATAAGAAAAATATCCTTCATTTTTAAGTGACATTGAGTTGATAAATAGAATCCATAAATATTGACCATATGTAAATTTTCATTCATCAATTTTATGTAGAATAAATAACTGGTTTTGAATGTATATACATGATATTTAGGTTGTTTGAGGGATTAAAGTGGGTTGGTTGGGTGGGGTTGTTTGATTATCGAAAGAAAATATTTATAATATTTGTGGTATTTATAATATATTGTACAATTGTTTTGAGTATGTAAATATTACATATAAAATATAATCTATTGTTTTATTTAAGGTATTACTCATGATTGTACACACATATCAACTGTAAATGCTTAATGCATTGTTAATAAGAACTAAGGAAATTAATATTCATTAGATATGAGTGATACATAATTTATTCCACTGACTACAATATTAAAGATGTAGATAGGATTATAAAATGTTTTACGTACACTGTAATATGGGCGAGGAGATTGAATCTATTCCTCTATACATAGTGTACATTCTGTACAGGGTTTTAGTCTGTCGTGGTGGTATTTTATATAGTGTAACACTGTATAGTATCTCATTGGTACCTGTCCACTGTGGGATGTTTCCTGTCAGCAGCAGTACCAGATGTATAAAGGCAGCTATTTATATAATATTGATATCACATGGACACAGTGAAGTGACTTGCGCTCGTGACGGACCAGGAGTTTGTGATTCTCTGTAAGACACAAATATCTACGTACCACAACCCACAGGACAGACGACTTTTATCACACATGTGTCACAGGACAAGTGTTAATGTCATGTGACCTTGTGGTACCTTTTTTCAAGGTCATACGTGAATGTAGTGACCTGTTTAAAGTGCTTCTACCACTGAGAATGACGGTACAGGATTATTCTTATCCTTATATACTTGTCACTCATGTGTCTAGAAATACATGTGCTAGGAGGAATTTAACATATCTGTGGAACATTTATTTTCACACAGAGACTGTTGTTGTTGTATGGAGCAATGATAACCGATACCAAGATTGGTAGTGTTATTATGGAGTTGTTATCATGCTGATAACTAAATTTGATAACGGATACCGTGAAAGGTGTTGCTATTATGGAGTTGTTGTATTATACTGATAACCAATACCAAGAATGGTAGTGTTATTATGAAGCTGTTATCATGCAGATAACCGATGGATATAGAGAAGGTATTCATTATGGAATGGTTATCACACAGATAGCTGATCCTCTAAGGGATACCAGTTACCTGTAATATATTGCAGTGCGTGTTGAGTTTTTATAACTTCATGTACAGACAATGTTATATAACTTCACATGTAATAAATACCAGGAAAATTGGACTGCAACAATGGAATGTAGTGCAGTACCCACAACAACCAGTTCAAGTTGATGTTGGAGAAAATACCCTTGGACTACCTGGATTAAAGAGTACTATTCAAGAGGAATAACTCTTATATGAAAGGAAAAGGAAATGAATACCCAGGACATTTCTAGGAGCATTATGATCAGACCTAGCCTACCTGAGTACCTACCTTGAGTACTTTGTGTTGGTTGTAATTGAGTTAATGTAAGTTGGAGGTCATCGTAAGTTTAAAGATACATTAAAGAGGTGAAAAATACCTGAATGGACATGCATAATGAAAAATATCGGTGGGAAAGGCAATTAATCTGTAAAAGATTTATATCTATACATACATATTGCATATATGTGTCATCTTCATCATTCTAAAAAGTGATAACTGATGTATAGGTTAAGGTCAACAGAGGTCAAGGTCATACTCTTTTGTACATAATACTTGTGGTAGGAATGAAGAATTATATATGCACAATACATGGTTATGGTGCCTGCATAGGGTCACTGACTGACCAATGCATGTATGTAGCTTAACGTATAACCATGCTAATGTCCAGGGCCTGCTTGTCCAGCTCAGATCAGTGTTAATATACTGTGTCTATATATTAGTAAAGAACAGCGTACTCGGTTTATAATTTGATTTGAAATTTTGCAAATTCAATTTGAACTTAGAAAGATAATTTCATGATGTTACTATAAATGTACCATGAAAATTTTATCATACGTGATATTTAAGAATGCTGTGTCTTTAAGAAATATTTCAAACTTGAGACTTAAGACAATAATTTAAAATATGTTATCTATTTGCAACCAATATGAAACATAACAAGTGCTTGATGATTACTGTAAACTTGTAATCCTAAAATATTGTTGTGTATGTAGTGGAGGCGGAGTGATAACATTACTGTAGACATCAGTTTAACACTGTAACAGAGAGTTGTGACAGGTAGGCCCTGTCGTCAGTGAGCCGTTAGGTAGTCAGGTCCTGTGTCAGTTTCAATACAAGATCTCACCCTGTTCATACCTGCTTTTTATTAGGCTTTATTTTATCACAATGTTGAAAGGAATTATTTAATATTCTCTTACGTAAACAAACAAATCTGGAATTTAAATAAAAAGTGAAAGGAAATTGCATTTTATAAATCAGTGCCAACTTTTATTATGACATTTTAAAATCTAGTATCATTCTGTCCATTGAAATAAATGAGGATGGGAATACTCACTGGAAATGTCCGGTATGCACACTTTCAGACCTTATAGAAAATGACAATAATAGGGCAGTTGTAACGGGGTGATTTCTACTGTGATGCTGTGCATGATGTTGTTGTGTGTTATATTTGCTGTGATGTATATCCTATAACTCGGTGGTAACACACAGTCCTACTCATCTCTCATTTCCATACATTCTTCATAATTAATCCAGTTCATATCTCAGGAAATTATTTTACTGCAACAAATAAACTCAAATTCATTCTATATGCTGCTACAAGTTAAATAATTGAAAGGCAGGGAATGTAAAACTACAATACATAGGACTTTTTTATTTCAAGATTGATCATGTTTTATTCAGTTCCATCATGCATAAATTTGGTTCTTTTTTTGAAAGTTTAATAGAAATCACATTATCTCAATCGAAATGACAAAATGTGATGCTATACCGTCCCAAAATAATGAAAATATCAACCATTTGTCTATAGTAAGGCAGCTTATAAGTAATAAATACACATGGTGTGATACAAACCTACAAATACAGACACTTTGTTCATAGTGACAAGTCTGCTGCTCATTTTGATATAAATTTAGTGCTTTTTGTTTGTCTTTTCCCAGTTATTTTCTATCAACCCTACATTCCGAAAAATTGAAATCCTGTATGGTTTATTATTAAACTGAGATACATAGATAATTCTAAGAGAAATCGAGAAGATTTTTGAAGTTACACAAAAAACCAGTGATCATGGATATGAACCTACATTTAACACAGCAGACATATCCTGCAGGGCAATGTATCTTTTTATGTGCAATCTCTAGTTTCATTTTGCATACATAATGTATCAATATTTGGAATGTGTTGTACTGAGCTTACGTATATCTGGTTTCTTTTGATGTATATCTGAAGCTTGACATGCACCAGAATTATTTTATTTTTATATAGTTAAATCAGTTATATTTAAGTTGTGCCTGGTTCTGTAAAAATCTTTCGGAGTCAAAAGACATGGCAGTTTTACTGTTGTTACATTAACTAATAAGTTATAGCTTGGTTATTTTCAATTATGTCAATGTCATTCAGGTCATTTGATGTTTAAATTCAGAATATCGACGATATTTTGTCATTTGAAAAAATGTGTTGAGTTTTATTGATTGTAGACATTTTACTGTGATAAGTTTGTTATGAAACGAAAATTTATGATTCTCTTCCAATAATTTACAGTGGTATATTATGGACTTCAGTAATTAATCACTACTTGAAATAAAACTAAGTTATCTTGAACTAAATTATCTGAGCAGGGAAACGTGCATGATATATTGTGTTGTGAAATTATTTATTTTAAATATTTACGCAAATTCTTATTTTTATTTTAAGATTTATTTGATCAAGTTTGTATGTTGTTTCCCTGTGTTGTTTGATGATTACTGGGTATTACTTTCAGGTTGTTCATGATGAAATGGCTATCTCGCTGTACTTGTTAAGCCATGGTGAAATGGCTATCTCGCTGTACTTGTTAAGCCATGGTGAAATGGCTATCTCGCTGTACTTGTTAAGCCATGGTTAAGTCCTAAGCTCACTTACTGGTGTTGTATGATGCCCAGTGGCATCCTTAGACTGATATTACAAGAATCCATATTATACTTTCAAATGATTTGCTGACCAGAAATGGTCAGAGTTTGATTGACCATATTGACCAATAATTAATACAATATCCAATCCTATTTGCCCATGCTGAAATAACAAGACAACTGCAAATATATATGCATTACATTATAGACGTATTTTTAAACACCCGAAATCAACTGATTAAATATGAAACAATGAAAGTGATAATTAAAACACTTCCGTTGTAGGTGTTAAATTATTGTCTTAATACATGATGTGTTGGCTTATTGTCTTGTTCTATTTTGCAGATTTCTTCCAACGAAAACATAAATTAGCCAAAAGTGCCATGTGTTCTAAAAACAGTATCAGTTTGCTCCATAACATAGCGTTTTACAAGTGACTTTACATGTTTTTGAATGTTAAGAGTTGTGAAACTACATATTTTTATGTATGTTGGATTTCATTTTCTCTCTAAACACGTTATGATATTGTTGAACATATACATGTACAACTATTGTAGAATAATTGAAATGTCTTAAGTTGTGACAGAAAGATTCCATACAAGTTGAAGTGTATTTGATGTAAATGGTCATGTTGATGCTCAGGATGAACTTACAACAGTTAAATATCAGAATTGAGCATGAAATTGGCTTTTGATCAACCAGAGGATAACATCTATATTAAAGAAATAGGAATACCATGACCAATGAAATCCCATATACTAAAAAAATCAAGTTTCACAATTTTTCATACTCATTATTATTAATCATGATTTAATATGCTACTGGATTGAAGACATGTTGAAGGTAAGTGTTTGTTTATGTAAATATCCCTGTTGGTAAACAAACGGAACAAATCATTTACCTTTGTAATAAGTGCTACGTACATTTCTACTTGCGTGAGAGTATATTTTTTATCTACAGCGGTTTATTCACTGACCAATAAGTTATAAATATTTCTATTTTAAATCCCAAAATGAAAGACCAAGAAATACGTTCTGACCAAACACCACTTTCAGAAATGTTAGAATTTATTTGAATTTGAAGCTTTAAAGATATCTGGTGTTCGTTGTAAGCTCTCACAGAAATATGATGAGGTGTCTTATTACGCTTCATTGAACTTGTTTCTTAGTCATTTAATTTAAAGAAATGTATTAGGGTTGAAAAGGGGGATAGTTTGTGACAAGCAAAAATGAGGGAAATCATTCGATGATAAAATTAGCATTCCACCATTGAATTGGAGGAACAAATACACCCTAATACATTTGTAATGTATGTATATATTACTGTGGGTAAAATCACAAAAAAAATAATAGATAGCTATATATATTTGAATATTTAATGTGGAAAATGGTAATAAAATCAGCTTTTATTATTGCAATCACCGGTTTTTAAAAAAGGAAAAATAAATTTTAATATTGAAAAAATTCTAAAAGTTTCAAATGTACTAGTACTTTTATATCTGCATAATGGTATAATAAAATTATACTAAATTCACAAGTATTCATTTGTTTAGATTTTGGATACTGTTTGTTAGGAAGTTTTAAAGAAAACAATATTAATGGAAAGAAAATCGGTCAGAAAATAAACAAGATGCTCTTCAATTGATCGTATTTGTGTTATTCTTTTCTGATGTTTTAAAAAAAAATGTGTTTAACACGAAGAAATTGATGTTCAAATACAACAAAAGCCATCAAGGGGATGCTTAATCCTAAAGAATACGACATTAACGCTGTTATTCAAGAGTAATTAAATTTATAATTTAAAAAAACATGTCCATACACTAAAACATAAAAAGACCGACAGAAACCTACGGGGAGGATACATCCATGCACCTAAACAAAAAAGGCATCACGAACTAAACTTAACGTCTGAACTACCATGAAATTGGGTTTATATTGTCAACGTATAAAAAGACAGAAATGAACATTCCAATACAACTTACGCGTAAGTAAATATGATAATAAAGATACAATAAAATCTTTGGTGTCCTGCAATGGTAAGCGATTCCTGCTGCACGCACGACACCTCCGTTAGGTATCCATCAGTTAACTTACCTCTCCGTTAGGTATCCATCAGTTAACTTACCTCTCCGTTAGAGTATCCATCAGCTAACTTACCTCTCCGTTAGGGTATCCATCAGCTAACTTACCTCTTCGTTAGGTATCCATCAGCTAATCTACCTCTCCGTTAGGTATCAATCAGCTAACTTACCTCTCCGTTAGGGTATCCATCAGCTAACTTACCTCTCCGTTAGGTATCCATCAGCTAACTTACCTCTCCGTTAGAGTATTCATCAGCTAGACCTATCCTTACTTATGCAGTTGATTTCCCCCTCCAGAGCATGTTGTATCAGGAATTGGAACTGAAGTGGTCAAGTTTTCTTCCGATGATATATCAATCAATGCTGAAAAATGTGTCTTGTCTACTTCATGATATGAAGTGCCTTTCTAGATCATCTGCCGTTTGTTCATTTGAATGCTATTCCATCGTTCCCTGGTGCTGTCTTTCCGCATCGACATGGTGTGTTCCCTCCATTACCTAACAACGATGCGGTTTCTATGTCTATCCTTACCTCAACACGTTTACTGTGTCCTAAGAAGTTTGTGACATGATTTCCTTGATCTGCTGTCCCCCTTGCATCACGTTGGACCTCCCTCTTTTCTATCCTACCCACACTTTTATTTCAGCGGAGTGTCTCTATGCACCAATATTGTTAAACATTGGATATTTCAAGTACGTTGAACATCGAACAAAATAACAGTCGACATTCATACCCGGTGCCACATGACCTAAAGTTTACCGTTACGTTTCTCCTCTTGTTTTATGCTTTGCCTTTTTCAATTATTGAAATGTTCACAATTTTGTCGTTTCATATAGACTAAATTCCAATAGTTGGTCCTGTGCCGACGCTATTCCCCCCTGTTTAGTGTATAATTGTTCCATTTAACAATTCTGATGTTCAAAGAAAGACAGAAAAATTGTATAGTGTCAAAACAAAGGGAAACGCTGGATTCTAAAGTGAACGCATAAAAAACCCAGAAAAAGAACTCAGAAAAAAATCTAGGTGAAATCGACAAAAAGAAAACGAAAAGACGACTGCCCACATTGTAAGAAATAATCAAAACGCGAAGCTTGTGAAATAGTCATAAAATGTAAGTGCGCGCAAAAGAACAGCCTTGTTAAAATAATAAGATAATTTAGGTCACCTTGCTTATCATAAACGTTTGGATACTGAGATAGAAAAAGACTTTTATTATATTTCACTTGGTAGAATAAATATAATCAACATATGTCTATATATTATCACAGAAAATATAACTTGGGATTCGAAAAAGTTTGAAACATTCGTTAATTATTTTTTCAAACATTTTCTCATCCTCCCTATATATTTAAAACATGTTTCTAAAATAAACCCCCACAACAAATGGAAGCTACGCAAGATAATCTGAAACTGTTAGCGTTATTGTTACTTACATTTAATTGATTATCTTAGCAAAAAAGGAAGGCACAAGCATTTAAAATTTTCGAACATTATCTTTTCACATTCATTTGAAAAACTTAATGGAAAATCAGTTGAAACTGAATAGAAAAGACGACAGACAATTAGGAGTAATCAAAACAGAAGGAGAGTCCTCGTGAACCCTGACAATATAATTGACGCAAAACTAGACACTCCGGAATGAAAACCGTTTCATGCACAACATGTGGTAGCCGTCATCATATCTACCGCCAAAATCCAAGAACAAACGCAGCTCACCAACAATTTAAACGAAACATAAAGTGTGCAATCAGGACAGGTACTGAACTAGGATTGTTGGACCTTACTTTCTGATGGCGAATGTAATATTTCAATAGCGTAAAATGACATGTCTCTAGTTGAAATCCCTGGAGAGGAGTAAATTTCTCAATGAGACAATTAAGAAAATTATAATACATATTCTGACATGTAGGTTATAAAACAGGATAGTTAACTTTCATGAGGTCTACATTAGTCACGTTTGTCAAGAGTTTAGTAAAAAAAATGACCGTTTTTGTCATGCTTTAGGTAAATGCTATATAGTTCGGTTGTAAGGTTATCATTACTGTCATAATGTAAGTATATACCATTGTTTGGAAGTGAGTTGACGGTTATTTTCATACTGTAAGTAAACACGTCACAAACATTTGGAAGTGAGGTGACCAATACTGTTATACTAACGGTAAATATAGAGTTTGAGTGAGATGACCATTTTTTCCATACTGTAGGCAAAAAGTGTTATTGATATATTAGCCGAAAACTGTCTAATAAGTGAGAGAAAGGACAGGTGTCGAGGCCTGTCAGGGCCGAGACCTGGTCTTTCTCTCACTTATTGGTCAATTTTAGGCCGTGAAGTGCCGTGACGTGACCTCAACCCGCAATGAGACTGAGGTCCTACCCTTACACTACCGTGCCTCTGCAAATAACTAATAATTGCAATTCTTTTAATTAATTTGTTCAAGTTTTATTAGCTAACAAAGCGATTACGAGGTAATATAGGCGCTCAGACAATACATACAATGTTTTATACAATGCCCTGCACTACTCAACTGAAACGTTCAGGCCAATGTACGTAAATACCCATGTAAGGAAATGTGATATGCACATTCACACAATTCATGTTCACCTTCCTGGTACAAAGTACATGTTTCATGTAAGTATTTGGTGAGAGTTTTCGTACAACATGATATAAATTCCTAATAACAAATTTGACACTCAAGACTTATGGAGAAAAGTAGCATATTTCTTTTGTAAATTTTACATGGTGTACCTGTTGTTTGTTTGTGCATGTGTGTACCTATCCTAGTTCACCTATTCAGTCAATATAGCCTTTCAGCTCAAGGTTGTCCAATTGCACGTATGTATGAATATACCTGGCTTTTGACTCTTAACGTGTGTTATTTACTGTGTTATAACTTGAATGCCGTGAGAATTAAAATGCTATCTAATAATAATAGAGACCGCTTGTGTGTACCTGTAAAACAACACTTATGAGAGGATATTTATGGAAATTTATTTTTGTCAACCATTTCGGAAAATATATCTAACCTTCATGTTTCACTCCTCATAAACCTGTACACAGAAATCGTTCGTTCTTGTTGAAACTTTCTGTGGTTTTGATACAGTTTGTGATGTCTTGTGATCTGAATGCATTTTAATGACGATACATAAGTATTGCAGCTGTACACAGAAAACGTGAGTACTTGTTGAGTTTTTGTGGTTTTGATACAGTTTGCGATTTATTGTGAACAGAATGTATTCTATTGACGATTATTGACCACAAATATTTTGATAATGGCATAAGTATATATAGCACTAAACAATCAGTAGACTTTGATATATTTATTCCGATCTCCAGTATACAATGGCGGTGTTTTGAAATGTATATGCACAGACAAAATATTTGACTATTACCTGTAGTTAAAACACAGCTGTGATGTCATCCATTGTTATTTGCGTACTATATCCAACAGAAGTCATAGGCATCACCTGTAGCCGACCAATAAGTTACCTGTAGCTGTCCAATAAGTTACCTGTATCTGTCCAATAAGTACACAAAAGAATCCACTTATTGGACGGTTGCAGGTAACATATTGGACAGCTTAAGTTAAACTTTTGAATGAGCACATAATTATGCTATACAATGGATAACATAGTAATAGAATAAATGTGAAAATAAATATTTATTAAATGTAACACTGAATTTAAATATCAACATTTCCCATGCACTATATTTTTTCCTTGAAAAAAGGTTTGAATCACGGAACACTCTTTTTACACGAAACATCCATATAGATGCATACACATCCAAACACTTTACTGAGAGTCACATTTCCAGCATTAATTGTAATTTCCTTTGAATTCGTAATTTTGTAGTTGAGGGCAGTTGAAATCTTGCGTATTCCCCAAAATTTATGTGCACAAATTTTTCTTTGTTATCATCCCTTGAGATATTCGTGTATAATCCCAGATATATAGCTGGGATATATCTTTGATGAAAATATTTTGGAGGTGGTGTTGAAATCTTGAATTTTCTCAATTGTGTGGTTTAATTCTTTCATTCCATTCTCTCACATATATAATCCCAGCAATATACTGTAATCACTTTCTTCAATAAATCAATCAAATTATTTGAATTTAATCCATTTCAATACTGAATGCTGATGCTTAAAATGTACTGCACAGGGACTGTGTTGGGAACGCACCTTCCCTGTTGAACGACATTATTCAAATGAGACTAAATTCTACTCGGGCATATTTCACACACATGTAATGCATGCACTTGTACAAAAGCATGCAAAGTTTTAAGAAAGATATAAGCCTCAAACTGTCTATTATGTAAAATATTGGACAGTCTTCGGCACTACGCGCCTTAGAATGTCCCAATATTTTACATAATAGACAGTTTTCGGCTTATATCCTTTACATAACAATTTTAACAGTAAATAGCTACATACAACGGGTGATTGTTATCTAAGGACATGTTACACAACCAGCACAATAACGACTCGATATGCCTGAAGTTTTGGCAGATTCACAAGACATGAACAAAATGTGTTTGATTCAACATTGTCAGTACACGTACATATGTGTTATGCTCCATATACTTGTTATATATAAACATAAGAACAACACGTATTTTAAGCTTGAAGGTTCTCATAAGCTTCAGGTTCAGGGGTCGTATGTGCTCCGCTATTGTTATCACCTGATCAACTAAACAGAACATGAAGCCAATTCTGATGTTTAAAGTTAAAAAAACGACTGAAAATTTAAATGAAAGGTTTTATACGTTTTCAATTCGATAAAAATGAAGATTCAATTCTGTCTGAATACGTTTTCAAACAGGAAAAAACATTTCGGGGCATAGTCAATTTATTTAAAATCCGAATAGTATTGATCTAACTAACTGTAAAAACATGCCATTTTGTTTGTTATTATCCATTTACAGGAATGAGGTATGTCTCGTCATTCCAGTCCATCACCTCTCCTACTTCTATTAATGGCCAACGCAGTACTCGCTTTCGGGGATAACCAAACGACAACAACAAATGAAGACCAGCTGACGGAAAAAAACAACCGACGAATATTCAATACTATTATGAAGAGAAGTAAACAGATACCACCACATCGGCAACCTACCTCCAACCATATGAGCCATCTCCTTGGATACAGTGGTTTTGCCAATTCTACTCACATCACGAGAGGCAACAAGACATGTCTGAGGATCCATTGTGTTGAAAGTAAAGCAACCTCATATTTCCTTGTGACAGTTTCAACTAATTCATTACAAGTGTTGAATATTATTACCGGCATGCATCTTGTTTGATGATATGCAGTTTAAGGAGATATATCATTAGGTTTAACTTGTGTCAACAGAAAAGTCATATTACTGAAGGGAACGAAGCAATGCAAGCTGACGGGGGTTCAAGATGAATTCCTTTCCTAAACCCCTGTTTTTTTCATTTTATGTTGATTTAAGCAATAATTTTGTTCTAATATGTTAACACTTTCTTATATTTTGTGCGCGCATGTTGACTGTACCACATTTTGTCTTTGTTGACACTGTAGTATATTTCGTTTTCGTTTGTTGACGCCCTGGTACATATTGTCCTTTTCTGTTGACACTAGTAAATTCTCTCTCTGTTTGTTGACGCTCTGGTACATATTGTCCTTTTTCTGTTGACACTAGTATATTCTGTCTCTGTTAAGCCTGTGGTGCATATTGTCCTTTTTCTGTTGACACTAGTTTTTTTGTCTCTGTTTGCTAACGCTGTGGTACACTTTGTCCTTTTCGTTTAACACTAGTATATTTTGTTAACGCTGGGGTACATTCTATATTTGTGAATTGAGGCTGTTGTATATTTTCTTCTCGTGTGTTGACCTTGTAATATAATTTGTCATTCTTTATTGTATTTGTGTGTTGACCCTGTTGTATATCTTATCTTTATGTGTTGACTCTGGTATATTATTTCCTTTTGGGTTGACCCTGTTGTATATCTTATCTTTATGTGTTGACTGTGGTATATTTTGTCCTTTATTGTTGACCCTGTTGTATATTTTATCTTTCTGTGTTGACTGTGGTATATTTTGTCCTTTTGGGTTGATCCTGTTGTATATTTTATCTTTATGTGTTACTGTGGTATATTTTGTCCTTTTGGGTTGATCCTGTTGTATATTTTATCTTTATGTGTTGACTGTGGTATATTTTGTCCTTTTGTATTGGTCCTGTTGTATATTTTATCTTTATGTGTTGACTGTGGTATATTTTGTCCTTTTTTGTTGACCCTGTCGATATTTTATCTTTATGTGTTGACTGTGGTATATTTTGTCCTTTTTTGTTGACCCTGTTGTATATTTTATCTTTATGTGTTGACTGTTGTATATTTTGTCCTTTTGTGTTGACCCTGTTGTATATTTTATCTGTATGTGTTGACTGTGGTATATTTTGTCCTTTTGGGTTGACCCTGTTGTATATTCTATCTGTATGTGTTGACTGTGGTATATTTTGTCCTTTTGGATTGATCCTGTTGTATATCTTACCTTTATGTGTTGACGCTTTTGTATGTTTTGTCTGTGGTTAATTTTGTAGATATTTACGCTGTTTTTAGAACTAATAGATGTTTTTCTATATGATTTTTTTCTGCAAATATTCTTAAAGTACTTATATCTTTTTTTCTGTATTCCAGACCATTACGTCAGATCATGCGACTTTGATGGCGGGAACGACACGTGTGTACGGTGCGCACAGGGAACATTTCTCGCTGATAACACCTCATCACAACAATTCAACCATGAATGTGTGACCTATCCAGAGTGTTTTCCAGGTATATCTGTAATTCAAGTTGATTTGATATTAATACAAACAAACGGGAATAGTAGTAATCAAGGGAAAGAACGAAACCTTGTCCAAATCCTGAACAAACGTTGAAATACTTGCATGTTTATTGCTCATTAAACAAACCAGTTTATAAACTGGAAATGACAACATTTCCATCTGACATGTATCAATTTTCTTATTACAATCTCATTGAGAATATACTGTATACAGCTTGGAATTCGCGACAATTTCGCGTAGTGTTATTTTCGCGTTTCATCAGGAAAATTTATATTCGCTCAGTGCAGAATTTCTTGTGCTATCACGTGACTATCATATGACGTGTCTACACCGACAGGTATATGGGCTAATATAATGAAATCATGTGTGACGAATAACAATAAATGTTACCTACATAGCCTTGTCACACTGCGGACATATGTTTGATTGGTTGAAACTGCCTCGAAAAAAGTGCCCTGAGCGTACGTTTTTACCCGATTACAAAGTAAACGTGTTGATGTAGGCCTACCGATTAGTTTCCTTTGTGTGGTTGGCCGAGCAACAAATATGCTCCGATATTTTAAACCACGCCTTTGAAAGAGTAGACAGGGAGGTTTTTATTTTGTGTATCTGTATCATTATTTTAACAGTCCGCCGTCATTATCATGTTACAAGAATGCAACTTTAATACTCTGTTATGTTTAAATTCATGGTGATATTTGTCAGTAAAGAGAACTGCATGTTTTACTTTATATTACTGTTGGAGCTGGAAATTATTGCTACATTCTTGAATTAGCGGTTGAATCCATCGGCGGAAAGCACGAAAATAACCCTGCCAAGAATTAACCAGTCAACAGTATAGGCCTCCTTTTGTTAACTTCTAACCCAATGGTTGCATTATCGTTTATAGTGATAAGATTTATATACATGTAAATATTATAAAAGCAGAAAAAAGTGTCCTTACAGACGAAGAAATAATATAAAAAGGAAAACAATCTCAACAACACGTAGAGTATTAAAGTTCATGTCACATAATAATAACGGCGGACTGTAAAAATAATGATACAGATACATAAAATAAAAACATCCTTGTCTGCTCTTTCAAAGGTAGGGTCTTAAGAATCTCATTGAAGAGATGAAAGTACTAAGGACGTGTTGTTGAGATTTTTTCTTTATATATATATATATATATATATATTTCCATGTACTGGAAGTCACTTTCACATTTCACTGAAACACAATGGAACACGCAATTTGGCCAATGTCTTTTTCCTGAGTAAGGTAATCAAAGGAAAAAATGCTTTAAACTCGTTGCTTCAGTAGACCTATTGTGGGCGGATCCAGCTCATTGGACGTCGCTTTCGAGTTTGTGATGATCTTGCTCAACTCTTTGAAGGTTATGTTAAGTAATTTACAGTAATATTCTAGGATTTCCGGTAGAAAGAATACCAACTTAGAGCATGTTATACGTTAGAGTACTATCTTAGGTGGGAAACCCTACTTGACTTTTGAATGTGACCTTAATGTATTCTGTTACCTATGGTAAAAGGATGATTGTATATGTGTTTTGTTCAACCCCTATTTAAACATTAAGGTATGGAAACATAAAATATGCACAATTTATAACACCAATGCTAAACCTTAGTCAAACAAAATAAAATTTAATTGAAAGCTTTGGTAAATGATTTTTATAGCTGAAACAAGGTTCTCAGCAGTATTTTGGGAATAATTTTCCTCTTTTTTATATTTATTTCAGATGCAACCAGAAGTCTGTATCCTAACTATTGTGCTGGTCAGCACTTGATGTACTGCAAGTGTGACGTAACTCGAAACTTCTGTGGCCATGATCCGTGCAAATGTACATATGGGAATTGTCCCTACTCCGCTCCAGTGTTACGTGTTAACTGTGGCTGTGACAGGTAAACAAACACCGCATCATCAAATATAATTAGATACTTAATCGTCGACATACCAGAGGTTATTCTATAAAATATATTAATACAGTCCATCTCGTCTAGGCCAATCCTCGCAAATCGTTTGTCGTCTGTTACTGTGTCCGCCGTCTGTTCCTTAATAGATTTTATAAATGTATATGAGAAGGGTAAATACATGCGGATTGATGTAAGTTACGGAACAAAAAAACCCGATAATTTATTTTGTTGTCAAAGAAATGAAGGAGCTGACATAAGCCTAGGAATGTTTGTTTGTTTTGGATTTAACGTCCTCGCAACAAGGTCAAGGAAAGACGAGTGAATATGGAAACACCGCCGAAAGTAAAGAGTAGAGAAACGAGAAATGAAAATGTATGGATCCAAAGTGTGGCAATGGGGGCAGCATGTCAGTGTTGATTTGTTCAATGTCCTCTTAGCAAAAGACACAGAAAATCGTCCACGTGATCGTGAAAATTGAAATAAAACAAAGCACCAAAGACTAAATCTAGCTTGTACTTTAGATATTGGGGGTCTTCAGTCGGGTTCGCCTGCAGATCCTTAAGATGGGCGAAAGTACTAGCGAGATTTTGTCTTCGGTGTTTTGTTAAATATATATATACTCACTTGATATATTCATGCAGTATTTGAAAAAAAGTCATTAAAATATGCTTTACCGTGATGTTGCTTTAAGGCGACTTGAGAGGGGCCACCTGCATAATTGATCTGTTCACCCCATTACAACCATTTCTTGTGTTCTTTTTTTCTGTTCAATTTTCCCCTCTGACCGAGTTAGTCCACATTTTCACGAGTTTCACCCACCTTATTTTAATCAACACCCTTAAATTGACTAAAATCAACTTTCAAATCTTAGACCGGAGAAACGGTCACGGGACCCCATTATGGGAACTTTACAGGGTGTTTCTGCACGTAAACATGGCGGAGAGAGAGTCTATCCACAGCAANAACACTATGTTTGATAAAGTGAATGACATTGACTTATATTCAAGGTCACAGGGGTCAAATTTGTTTAAAATCTTTAAACGACCTCTTCTGAATAACCATGGGTCCCAGGATGTTGATACATTGCAAGTTGCATCCTGAGATGAAAGGCTATAAAATTTGTTCAACATAATGACTTAATTTGCCTGTCGCTTTATTTTAGATCACTTTTAATGTTACAAGTATGAGATTTATACCAGGTGAGCGATGCAGGCCCATTGGTTCTCTTGTTCTTTTTTTTTTTTTATTAATTTCAGATGCAACCAGAAGCCTGTATCCTAACTATTGTGCTGGTCAGCACTTGATGTACTGCAAGTGTGACGTAACTCGAAACTTCTGTGGCCATGATCCGTGCAAATGTAGATATGGGCATTGCTCCTACTCCGCTCCACTGTTACGTGTTAACTGTGGCTGTGACAGGTAAACAAACACCGCATCATCAAATATAATTAGATACTTAATAGTAGACCTAGTGGACGATCAGGGAGCCGGTAGCTCAATCGATCATAGCATCCAACTTTACAAAATGTAGACCAATTAAAGTAAAAAAGTAAAAAAGTGTATTAATGTATCATTTTAGACGCTCAACGACGTCGACACCGACAACAACGACGACGACGAAAATTACAACTACAACAGAAGAAATGTCTTCAATTAAATCTACAAAAATGCCAAATGTTTCAAGTACTCCAGTTCATTCGAGTCCGCAGACGACAATGGAGCAAACTTCCTTGACAACAACAAGACAGACGACAATCAAACCGGGCGGTGATGAAGAAGATACCGGGTAATTTTGTAATACATTTAAACGTTATATCAACATATTATGTACCTCATTCAAATACGATTTCAAGACAAGTTTATTTTTAATGGGACAGAAATAACGAACGATATAATTAACACAAAAACCTATCTCTCATATAAACATGTGTTTGTCTTTTTTTAATATTTCATAATTAAATATATCGCTATTTATGTTCAATGAAGCTGATAAGGGTTGCATGGTAACTTCCAGGCGTCACATTTCTATCTAGTTTTTCCCCCTTGATATTAAGAATTAATCTTCAATCTCGATATCAGATTTTTTTTTGATATATAATGTATGAAAATGATGTGTTCTGTTAATAAGAAATTGAATTATCGGATCAAGAGGTCGAGTCCCTGATATCATAAATAACAATACAAAATGCTACATGGCTTATGCATTTTGTTGAATACAGATGAAAATATAACGACCTCATTAAATTAATTTATTATATTCCAATATATAAGTAATAAAGATACATACTATTGAATTAAACAATCAATATTTCAAAGTCGATCACAAAAGTCGTGATCTTCGGAGCAAGCTCCTGAGTACCGAATCAATTTGATTTTGCGTTCATTTGTTCTTTATTAAGGTAAACTATAACACTGCGACCTATAACGCGATTTCCGTTACGTCATTTAAGAAGAAGGCCGCCAAGGACTGGCTTTTGTTTGGTCGAAATTCAGATATTGGTCGAAATTACTCAAATAACTTATATAATAGTATGCAGGAACCCCTAATTCTAAGACTTTAGTTTAGTCATTGATCAAGATGGTCACTGTGCACTGGCTTCAAACTGGTCGAAATTCAAATATATATATTTATTTTCAGGAGGAATTATTGCCGTCATTGTTATAGTGATATTGGTGTGTGTTGGTTTTTGTGTTGGTGTTGGCGTTGTTTTCGTGATTCGGTATAAAAGGAACCAAAAATCAGGTAAGTACATTAAGAACATAACAAGTAGCAAACCAGGTTGTCTGCATTTCCTTTCAAACTTCGACTAATCTCTCATTTCTCTAAACTTGAACTCTTGTTGAAAATCGAGATTTCTAGCTTTCTTGACATTCTGTTCTCGTTGCAGTGCATTAGAATAGCTATAGCATACAAACTGTATGTTATTATTGCATTCGTGGTAATAGTGTACGATATGATTCCGAGATTGACTAGAGGTTTCTGTATATGTGAGATTTAATATTGTGTATTGTTTTAGATATGAGACGGATGGTTCCGTGTTTGTGAAGAAGCTTAAAGCATATATCTTTGAGAAATAAAATGGATATTTTTTGTATATTTAATATTTAATGTATTATTTGAGAGATGCGCTCGGTGTTTCTGTGTACGTAATGTAGGTTAAAGTTTATATGTTTCAAAAATGAGATAGGTGTATCTGTGTTTATGAGATTAAAGTTTGTTGTCGTTTGAAAGTTGAAATGAACGTTCCTTTGTCTGATGTAGGTCAGTGTTTTTGATGATTGACAGATGGGATAGATATGTCTATTTTTCTGGTTTGGCATACTGTATCTATGACCAAATTCTAAAGGTGTAATAAAATTTGAAAGGAAGCTAAAATCCATATCATGATGAGAGAGGTAATCGGTTTGTTTGTGTTTATTAGGTCGAGATTAATGAAATGCTTGAGAATTAAGATATGTGTTTCTGTGTTCTTGGGCTAGGGTAATATTTCTAATGATAAACAGAAAGGAAAGGCATGTGATCAACCAATATGCTTGAATGCTCTTTATACATGATACATGCTTGGTTGGTCTTTATACTGTATACATTCTGTGTGGTCTTTATAACGATATATGTTTGTATGGGTTTTACACTGTATACATAGTTATGTTGTCCTTACACTGTTTGTACATGTCTTTGTGTGGTCTTTTACTGTAAACGTGTTTGTGTGGTTTTTACACTGTATACATTATACTGAATACATATTTGTATGATCTTTATACTGTATACATGTTTGTGTTGTCTTGATACTGTATAAGTGTTTGTGTGGTCTTTATACTGTATACATATTTGTGTGGTCTTTATACTGTTTACATTTTGTGTGTTGTTTATACTGTATACATGTTTGCGTGTTCTTTATACTGTATACATGTTTGCGGGATCTTGATACTGCATACATGTTTGCGTGGTCTTTATACTGTGTACATGTTTGTGTGGTCTTTATACTGTGTATGATCTTTATACTGTATACATGTTTGAGTTGTCTTTATACTGTATACATGTTTGTGTGGTCTTTATTGGTCTTTATACTGTATACATGTTTATTTTATATTGATACTTTATACATGTTTGCGTGGTCTTTATACTTTATACATGTTTGTGTGGTCTTTATACTGCATACATGTTTGCGTGATCTTTATACTGTATACATATTTGTGTGGTGTTTATACTGTATACATGTTTGTGTTGTCTTTATACTGTATACATGTTTGTTATATATTTATACTGTATACATGTTTGTGTTATATTTATACTGTATACATGTTTGTTTGATATTCATACTGTGTACATGTTTGTTTTATATTGATACTGTACACGTGTCTGTGTGTTCTTTATACTGTATACATGATTGCGTGATCTTTATACTGTATACATGTTTGAGTGGTCTTTATACTGTATACATGTTTATTTTATATTGATACTTTATACATGTTTGTTTTATATTGATACTGTACACGTGTCTGTGTGTTCTTTATACTGTATACATATTTGTGTTGTCTTTATACTGTATACATGTTTGCGCGATCTTTATACTGTATACATGTTTGCGGGATCTTGATACTGCATACATGTTTGCGTGGTCTTTATACTGTGTACATGTTTGTGTGGTCTTTATACTGAATACATTTTTTGTGTAGTCATTATACTGTTCACGTGTTTGTGTGGCGTTTATACTGTACACGTGTTTGTGTGGTCATTATACTGAATACATATTTTTGTGGTTTTTATACTGTACACGTGTTTGTGTTGTCTTTATACTGTATAAATGTTTCCTTTACTGTAAACGTGTTTGTGTGGTTTTTACACTGTATACATTATACTGAATACATATTTGTATGATCTTTATACTGTATAAATGTTTGTGTGGTCTTTATACTGTATACATGTTTATTTTATATTGATATTGTATACATGTTTGCGTGGTCTTTATACTGTGTACATGTTTGTGTGGTCTTTATACTGAATACATTTTTTGTGTAGTCATTATACTGTTCACGTGTTTGTGTGGTGTTTATACTGTACACGTGTTTGTGTGGTCTTTATACTGAATACATATTTGTATGATCTTTATGCTGTATAAATGTTTGTGTGGTCTTTATACTGTATATATGTTTGTGTGGTCTTTATACTGTATACATGTTTATTTTATATTGATACTGTATACATGTTTATAATATATTTATAGTGTATACATGTTTGTGTGGTCATTATACTGTTTACATGTTTGTTTTATATTGATACTGTACACGTGTCTGTGTGTTCTTTATACTGTATACATGTTTGTTTGATATTCATACTGTATACATGTTTGCGTGATCGTTATACTGTATACATGTTTGTGTTGTCTTGATACTGTATAAGTGTTTGTGTGGTCTTTATACTGTATACATGTTTATTTTATATTGATACTGTATACATGTTTGCGTGATCGTTATACTGTATACATGTTTGTGTTGTCTTTATACTGTATACATATTTGTGTTGTCTTTATACTGTATACATTTTGTGGTGTTTTTCTTACTGTATACATTATACTGAATACATATTTGTATGATCTTTATGCTGTATAAATGTTTGTGTGGTCTTTATACTGTATACATTTTGTGGTGTTTTTCTTACTGTATACATTATACTGAATACATATTTGTATGATCTTTATGCTGTATAAATGTTTGTGTGGTCTTTATACTGTATATATGTTTGTGTGGTCTTTATACTGTATACATGTTTGCGCGATCTTTATACTGTATACATGTTTGAGTGGTCTTTATACTGTATACATGTTTGTTATATATTCATACTGTATACATGTTTGCGTGATCGTTATACTGTATACATGTTTGTGTTGTCTTTATACTGTATACATGTTTGCGGGATCTTTATACTGTATACATGTTTGCGGGATCTTGATACTGCATACATGTTTGCGTGGTCTTTATACTTTATACATGTTTGTGTGGTCTTTATACTGCATACATGTTTGCGTGATCTTTATACTTTATATATGTTTATTTTATATTGATACTGTATACATGTGGTCTTTATACTGTATACATGTTTATTTTATATTGATACTGTATACATGTGGTCTTTATACTGTATACATGTTTATTTTATATTGATACTTTATACATGTTTGCGTGGTCTTTATACTGTGTACATGTTTGTGTGGTCTTTATACTGTTTACATTTTGTGTGGTCTTTATACTGTATTCATGTTTGTTTTATATTGATACTGTATACATGTTTGCGTGATCTTTATACTGTATACATGTTTGTTTGATATTCATACTGTATACATGTTTGTGTGGATTTTATACTGTATACATGTTTATTTTATATTGATACTTTATACATGTTTGTTTTATATTGATACTGTATACATGTTTATAATATATTTATAGTGTATACATGTTTGTGTGGTCATTATACTGTTTACATGTTTGTTTTATATTGATACTGTATATATGTTTGTTTTATATTGATACTGTATACATGTTTGTTATATATTTATACTGTATACATGTTTGTTTGGACTTAATACTGTATACATGTTTGTTTTATATTGATACTGTACACGTGTCTGTGTGTTCTTTATACTGTATACATGTTTGTTTGATATTCATACTGTGTACATGTTTGTTTTATATTGATACTGTATATATGTTTGCATGGTCTTTATACTGTATACATGTTTGTTTGATATTCATACTGTGTACATGTTTGCGTGGTCTTCATACTGTATACATGTTTGTTTAATATTGATAGTGTATAAATGTTTGTGTGTTCTTTATACTGTATACATGTTTGTTATATATTTATACTGTATACATGGTTGTGTGGACTTTATACGGTATACATGTTTATTTTATATTCATAGTACTGTTGATACTATGTATAAATTTACGCTTTTGTGTAATTATAAAAAAAACCCACCTAAACCAATGGAATTATTACTTTGACACTTTGCAGGTATCTACTCTCCAGCTGGGTCTAACAATGATGAAACAGATTCTGGTGACGATGGTTTGTAAGATACCAGCTGCACACACACACACACAGGATTTAACTTGCCGTGACTAGAATAGATTGAAATATCATCGTTGTTATATTTGTAATGAGCCAAAAAATGTATCATGCTTTTTCAAATTTTTATAATTTGTCTTTATTTTTTTTGTCGTATTAACGGAAACAAAAAGGCACGCTTATCCAGCAATCCGTAGTCCACAGTACATTGTTGTAAAAAAGTTCAGTTCATCATAAGCATTGAAAACCTGTCTGAAGCTTATTTTTATATCACATGTGTATCTCCATTATAATGTTTCTTATAGCACTAAAAAATAAAATGACCTGTCTTGTGTAAGATTCTGCAAAACTTTCATTCATCTTTTATCTTACTGCTGTTTTGTTCAGATCATATGAAATCACGGTCATGCCACTTATTTAAAGGTTTCTACCTTGTGTACATTACACAACACCAGCTAATTTCATCATAGCAATAATTGTCGACGACCAATAGCTGTCCACAACCATTAGCTGTCGACCACCAATTACTGTCGATCACCAATAATTGTCCACAACCAGTAGCTGTCGACCACTAATAACTGTCGATCACCAATAATTGTCGACAACCAATAACTGTCGACAACCAATATATGTTGAAATCCAATAACTGTCGACCACGAAAAGCTATCTACCACAAATAACTGTCGATCACCAATAACTGTCGACCACAAATAGCTGTCGACAACCAATATATGTTGACAACCAATAACTGTCGACAACCAATAGCTGTCGACCACAAAAAGCAATCGACCACAAATAACTGTCGATCACCAATAACTGTCGACTACCAAAAGCTGTCGACAACCAATAACTGTCGACCACTAATATATGTCGACAACCAATAACTGTCGACAACCAAAAGCTGTCGACCACCAATAGTTGTCGACCACCATTAACTGTCGACCACAAATAACTGTCAACTACCAATAGTTGTCGAACACCCAATAGCTGTCGACCACCAGGTGGCTGCCGACAACCAATTACTCGACCACCAATAACTGCCGACCACCAATAACTCGACCACCAAAAACTGCCGACCACCAATTACTCGACCACCAATAACTGCCGACCACCAATAGTATCATTTACATCACTCGAGACCACCTATACCGCCACTACAGCATCGTAATATGGAACACCAAATTAACAATTCCAGTCACTATTGTTGGTGTCAACGTCATAAATCACAATTACATTCTTACATTATAAACAGTATACAACTGATTAATGGTTTATGTTTTTCCTGCTGTATAAAATTTTAAGTTCTTAAATTTGAGCTACGTAGATACTTCCCTGAACTACTTTGACAAGTACACGTTCTTCTTAGTAGAGACTTCTTTTCAAAAATACTGTTAAGGTCCTCGTCCAAAATTTCATAAATTGGTTAAACTTATAGTATCTTTTTGTTCTCTCGGTATTTGCGGAGATGTTCGGAATCTCGCCGCTGTTCTAAAATGAATCTTGTCTTCTTGTTTGTGTTGTCAGGCTCGCAGACTCACTGTCCGAATATTTATTGACAGGATGTAGAGACGTATGTGGCCGCTGTCTGGTTGAGGGAAAAGTTCCTGTTGTACAAACGGTGTTGCACAACTGCTGGTCCTTCTAAAACACATACTTCAACATTTTCCAATGTTTCTACAATAAAAACAGAGTCATCGTTTTGCGGGACAAAACATGAGATGGTTGAAGCAAAATTGCCACCTAATCTATAACATGATCACATCCCGAGAGTTCCCGTTACAAAAACGCTTATTCCAAAAATAGTAGGACTCCTGGTCAGTGTGATTCTAAGTCTAACGGTAGTCGTGAGTGTAAGTGCTGGTATCTATCTGATTCCCACCAATTAACGTCGATTTTCCGCGCGTTTGTGTAGTTAAACTAATGACGTAAGAGTTGATAAAGGTCAACTTTAAATTTTATCAAAAATAACATTTGCCTTGACGGCGGGATATTCTGGAATTACCAAAATGTAGTTATGTTATCACAAGGGGAAAATATGATAAAATGAGGCTGAAATTAACTGTAAAAAAATCTAATGCTTGAAATACTTTACAATTTATTATGGAATTTATGCTACGAATTGTTTATATTCAGTAACTCATATGTGACCTTTTACAAAACAAGCAAATAAGACATTTCGATGGAATTGGACAATAACATGTTACATTATCGTTAATTGTAACTCTTTACGTCAATATATGTAGCCTTTGTGATCTTAAAGATAAAACAAACATGTAAAACTGTATTTCCCTGGAGCTAATGAAGGCGGCACATGAACAAACTTTCTTAGAATAACTCATTTATCATTGTCCATCACACTAGTGAACACTGACCAGGTAAGTGAATTAGTATGGGGAAAATTCACGTGTTAATTGGTCGAGTTAATCAAGTAAATTGTCGCACCTTTACGGCGAAGCGAGTGTTCCCGATCGCGAGACAATTAAACAAAAAGAAAGTCCGGACCTACTCTTTCATTTGGAATCACGCTGATATGGAGTCCAACTAAGACTGCGTTCGCTCTATTTTGGAATCATTAAGAATAGCGTTTCACAACAGATTCTCTCGTTATGTCACTATGGTATAGATGCGATGGTCACTTTAGGTCCAGCAATTTAGGTGATGTTCTGTCCCACGAACAGATGTTTCTGCTTCTACTTTAGAAAGATTGGACTTTTTTCAAGGGCATGTTTTGGAAGGACCAGACGATTTACAACAACCGTTTGTTCTACAGGATATTCCCTTGATTAGACACGGTCCACGACTTGACATCCTCTCCCTGGGCCTACCTCTCTGTCAACACCAATGAGAAAGCCCAAATCTATTTTGAAGCGGCGGCGAGATTCCGATCATCTCCGGAAATATCGAAAGGCCAAAAGGGTACTATCCGTTTTACCGCTTCGCTAAGTTTCGGACGATGACCTTAATGAAAACAAAATCAAAGACTATTCCTAATTTTCTCAAAACTGTTCTCTTGTCTCCAAACTTTCAAGAACTAAATCAACAATTTCGGCTATTTTGCAAATGTAAACTATAAAACACGAGAGGGGAATTTGTCAGGGTCAAAGAAATAACTGTAAGTTACTACACAACTCAAATCAACGAACTGTAAAACACTTAAGACAGCAGATAGAAGATATTGAGGAGCAAAGACGACGCGTTAAATCAGTTACAAACAGAACGGAATGGAACAAACCCAACGCCATTTATCAAGTCTGGAAACAAGAATTTTGGAAAAAGACGACGAAATGAACCGCCAATAATACACGATCGACAGCCTTTAATATAAACTAAGGGAAATGAACCGCCAATAATACACGATCGACAGCCTTAACTGAACCGCCAGTAATACACGATCGACAGCCTTAACTGAACCGCCAGTAATACACGATCGACACTCTTAACTGAACCGCCAATATTACACGATCGACAACCTTAACTGAACCGCCAGTAATACACGATCGACAACCTTTAATATAAATTGAGGGAACTGAACCGCCAATAATACACGATCGACAGCCTTAACTGAACCGCCAATTATACACGATCGACAGCCTTAACTGAACCGCCAGTAATACACGATCGACAGCCTTTAATATAAACTGAGGGAACTGAACCGCCAATAATACACGATCGACAGCCTTTAATATAAACTGAGGGAACTGAACCGCCAATAATACACGATCGGCAGCCTTTAATAAAAACTGAGGGAACT